GATGGACATGGGCTGCCCATGGGCTTCCTGGCCCAATTCTCTACCCTAACCAGAAGACACAAAAACAGTGTGGGAGCAATGGTGAAACCAACAAAATGCATGTATTTGTATATGTTTTTCTCCAAATAGATTGTATTTTCATTGAATCAAAAAACAGATGCTATACAAATGTATCAAAATTTCTGTATCTGGTCAGAAATACAGCCCAATACCAAAAATAAAATACTGTATCTTTTTGTATCTTCCAAAATTTATGTTGAAAACAGGCCAAATTGGCCAAATAGTGTGTATTGGTTTTTTGATACATTACACTTATATGGTATCTGATTTTAGATACAATAGATACATATTTTTTTAAGGAATCAAAAAAAAAATACATTAAAAAGTATCTGCAGATACTTTATTGTATCTGTAAAAAAGATACATTAAAGGTAGCCAGACTTATGCTGAGTACAACCCCAAATCCAGTGGTGTATTGCACCAAAACATGAGCAGAAAGGTAAAGAAAAATGCCTTACCTCTCAGCCCAAAATCACCTGTAAGGCATAAGTCCCTCACTGAGGGAGGCCTTTGGTTTTTTGAGATCTAAATCCAATTTCACACCCCCATTTAGCAGCTGCACGTGAGTGTCTCCTAGCTCATAACATTTGACCACTCAATCAGAGGTGTGTCAAGACCTCGCAAAGCAAGCCTCCAAAAGAGGGGCTGAGGCCTGATGCAAACATTTTTTCAAGAGAAGCTTTGCTTTTTGTTTGGTGGTGGAGAACTGTGACACATGTTCTACTCAGCTTCCTGTCAAAAATGTTGGATGCCTGCTAGACCAAAAGAAACATGTGAATCTTTCCTACCATTCACTGCATGAAACATGGGCCTTCTTTCAATAGCTTTTTACCACATTCAAAAATCCTGGCAAAGTCTATCATTTCATCAATTTGTGTTATTTGAAAATCACTGTATTGTGATGGACAGATGATCTGGATCAAAGATCCAAGGGTGGGACAGACAACATCTGGTGAGATTGTAGGCAAGATACATGCAATTTTAATGGTTTAACAGGCAGGCGGCTATAATTTGTGAGATGAAAATGGGAAGGGTGGACCACAGGTGTAGCCCCTGCAGAAAGCCCTCAAAAATAAACACCCAGAGGCCCATCCTCAGCCACCACTTGGCAACCAGTGCAAGGTCTGAGGACAGCTGCTCAAATACATCTTATTCTTCTACCACAACATGAGCAGTCATTTGCATGTGATGGGAAAATTTCAAGTGCCTTGAGAGTGATGCAATGACTGGGCTTAAGGCATCAAACTGGAAAATTGTGCACTGGAAGTGTATGTGTAGCAGTTTTCCACCAGAAAATACTCAAAAACCTCTCATTTCCATTGCAAGGACATTGTATCAGACTCAATTCCTCCCTTGGAGGCTTGCTTCAAGGGTTTCAAAGGGATTGTGTTAACCTGCAAATTGGACCCAGTGTCCAACAGGCCATTTAAGGTTAAGGCTCACACAATGAAGCCAGGGGTTTCCTCAGGCCTTCATTTCCCAGTAAAACAGAGCCCCACCAGACTTATAAAGTGTTTATGTGGTCTAACATCCAATATTAAATGAAAAAGAATCAAAACACAAGTTGATTGTGTTTGCATCTTGTCATGGATAATCTGATCAAAAAGAGGAGAAGATGGTCTGCTCAGAAGATGAATTGGATGATTATTTTATTTTATTTTAAATCAACAAAGAAAAAAGAAAGATGCGCGGTGTGCTTTGATTATCCTGCATTTTTCCTTGCCATGTCCCATCCTCTGATCTTCATCACAAAATAGAAAAAAAAAACAGAAACCAACAGTAAAATATAATACATCAGAAAAGAAATGGAGGGCTCAGTTGAAATAAAACAAGATCTAGAAAGTGAAATAGAAATCAAGGGTGGGCGGGGGTGAGACCAGAGAGGTCTAGAAAAAGCATTACACAAGAGAGAAGCAGAAGAAGCAAGTAATGGATGGTTGAAGAGGCGAAAGAGAGGTTGTGTGGGTTGGGTGTGATATGATATGCCATTGCCATGGGTACATTTACGATAGCTTGTTGAGAGAGGATCACTGGGAGACAGCGACCAGAGCTTGAGGGGCGGGTCCATGGGCGATCTCAGGAAGGGTGCAAGTGGACGAATCGGCAGGAGCGGAGGTACTAGCGGTGCTGGGTGCCATACTAACGCTGTAGGTAGTGGATGCGGAAGAGACGGAGCTGGACGAGGAGGCCCGTTGGCCGGCTGGCTCATCCTCGAGCTCACTCGAGCCAACCTTCTTCCCCAGTTTCACCCATTTCTCGAGTCGTGCACGACGGCGTTGACCACATTCTAAGGTCAATGCTGGCCAGTAACTCTCAATGTCCTTTTAAGGTTTTGGGGATTTTATCAGTCTCGTGCTTCTTTCGTCCTCCTCCGTAATAAGGTAAATCATTCGACTCACAAACTCGTAACCATTGTACCCCGCTGACTGTCTAGCTGTTCCGCAGGTGCGACTTCAAGGATCAGCTTTATCAACAACTGCCTTGGCAAAGGTGCACCGGATCGATTACCGGCTTAAGAAGCTTAAATATGAGAAGTTCACAGATGTTAGATAATGGGTCTACAACTGTCAAGTTATGATGCAAATTTTCACTAAGCGTACCTTGAGTACCCAAACAAATAAGGTGGGCATATTGCAAACTAGAGCCTGCCCTAGTCGTTCGCAGTAATGTGCTCCTAGGGTCTGTAAGGTTAGGAAAATGTCAGTCAAGAAAAAAAGTCAATATTCCGAATGAGCAGTGTGAATACTTACTCTAACGAAATCCTTTTGCTGTTTGACCGACGGTGATTCTTGAGGTCCAGCGAGATCTATGACAAGTAAGATGCTAGATAGGAGTAAAGAAACAATGAATATGTGGTTTTCGCTAGAAACACCTATTCGCGTGACTCACGATTCTACTCCAGGGGGCATGAGATCGATGGCCCGGTCGATGAGCCAGAAGGCCAGTGGGAACCGGTGTCCCGAGCCACCGGTACCACTGGTCTGGTTACGAGGCCGCATGTGGACGATAGGCCGGCCGATGTTATCGAAGCCGAGGGTGAACATCTTCCCGCTTTCTGCCTGTGATAAAAAAGATCAGTCATGTCATTCTTGTGTGGGGGGTTTTAAGGAGGATACCGACGAACCTCAGTTTTTAGAGTCGCCGCCTGTCCCTCAATTTCGATGCCGTCGCCGCCGAGACTTCTGCGCCAAATTATGGTCTCCTCAAGTCGGGCCTGACATTTCGCCAGGTCCCACTTGTCAGCGCGCAGACAACGCAGGAGAGCCTCTCGGTTGAGCAGTGAGCACGCCTCCCAGGCCGTCAGTGGTGCGCCAGCCTTGACCTTCTCCTTGCCCTTACTGTCGACTGTCCTCTCCTGCGGCCGGAACCCTTCGGCACTGAAATGTCCAATCAATCGGTTCAACATTTCCGTTTGGGCAACGTTCAATGACACCGGCTTCGGATCTTCCGGCTGGGTCCCCGCAGATGGCGTGGTGAGTAGCTTGCACACGCTCTCGATGGTCGTCGTGTTGGTGGCCGTCATCCTGTTTTGTTTTATGGTACGGCTGTGTATGGTATCGATACTTTGTCGATTGATTAGATGGGGAGGAAAAGTTTACAGCTGCTGTTACTTGAAATGCTGAAGCGTGTGTGTATTGAAGTTCAAAAAAAAAATCCAAATCCCGTCGCGAGCCTGCCTGTGCGAAGTATTGAGCACGAGGACGATGAGGTGTGTTTACTGATTGAATTTGAAGGGGCGAGGGAAAAAAAATAAAAACAACGCAAGGATGTGACAAAAAGAGTTGAACAGGAGGTAAAGTTGGAAGCACAGAGATTGATAAGTAAAGCGGTGGGTTAAGAAGTAACGGATTGGTCAGATAAATGTCGGCTCCGCTGGTGCGCCTTGGCAATTTGTCTTGGAAACTCAAGAGTCTGAACTGGGGCAAAAGATGAGCGCTGGCTGGTGCGTCATGATTGGCACATCGCTCTGGATGGGTGATTGCTGCCGGCTGCGAGCTGGGTACATAGGTTGCTTGGGCGAATGCGATGTCGTTGCAGCGCCGAAGCCAAAGGATTACTATCGGCAGTAAGACTTCTGAACTGGTCATGACAGCCATCAATGATCGGTTGTCGCCAACTGAGTCTTGAATCGGCTGAGCTTGGCAGGATGGATGATGACCAGCTGGTCTTCTCAACTTGGAGGATGTTGTCAAGTCACTGGGACTGTACTAGCCAGGCACCAGCGACGAGGGAGAAGTATTTCTCAGAGAATATCCGGTGAGACGGGGTGTGCGACGCGACGTTTGCTTTGCTTCCATCCACAAGTGATATCTCGCTCAACATCTGAAACCATGAACGCGTTTTGCAGCTTGCTGGATGGCTTCAATTGGAAAGCCAGGAGATACATGTCCAGTCTTCCGCGTAACAACCAGTCGGTCATGATTGGCTGTTCAGCCTCTGTAACAATAACGGGATGCAATGGGATGCGATCCCGGGCCCAGGGGTGGGTCTTCAATGTTCAAGTGCCCCAGCGATGAAAGGGTGGAATTGACCTTACTTAACCAAGTCCCCCTATTGGAGGGGTGACGCCGCCCCGCAGGGATCCGAAGGAGATCCGGTTGGCGCAATGCGACATTTACCACTCTGACCAGGAAGGAAAGGGACTTAGTTAGTTAGGGAATTGACATTGAGTATGCAATGCTCGCTAAGACACTTGGTCTTGAATGGTCGCAACAAATTCATTGCCTGTTTGTTAAAGTTATTTTCTGTAAGAATTATCGTAAGGTATGTAAACCCTGACAGTAACAGTGGGCTAGCTTAATGAAGCCCCTCCGAAAACGAGGTCATCCCAATCAGAACGCAAATGCAGCTTGGCAAGCATTATAACGTTACAATTGCTGCTTCATCTCCTCACTCAATCTTCTTCTGCCATCGCGTATAATTTGCTTCACAAGATGCTTCTTATAAATGTATGGAATGGATGACTTCCCGTCGGGTTTTAGAACCCTTGCAGAATCCAATTTACACCACTTCAATCTTAATTTTTGGTAAAAAAAATTCATAAGCCTTGTCGCAATGGCTTTCATGTGAGCTAACGGTGGTTTTGATCAAATTCTTAATTTAGAACCAAGAGAGGTCTTAAACACACTCTAAATCTCCACAGGTTATCTGTAGACCCTAGGGAATCAGATTTGAACCCACTGAAGTCTGATCTTGCAGGGAAATCTGATTCAAAGGCCTACAAATCCGGGTTTGTAGTGGCTTCAGAATCAATAGGAAGTCCTCCAATAGTGGGATTCAGAGTTGAGTGCAAATGCCTTGCAAAAGGGTTTTCATCTGCACAACAAAGCATGCATGTTCAGCTCCCATTACTCATTATAAGGTTAGATGTGGCTAGTAGAAAGCCATTTTTGAAAAGCTCCATACATGATAGTGACTTGCAAAATGTTCTACAAGTCACTTGCACTCAACTGTGAAACCCCCTAAGATCTCAGCTTTTGTAGGCACTCTTGATGAATGTAATTTATAGCTTTCCAAAAAGGTCCAAACCTCAAGGCCCTTACACCCACCACATTGAAGTTTCTTCAGTGCTCTAAAATCTTCCATGAGCAAATTCAACTCTTCTACAGTTCAATGAAGGTTTTCTTAAATTCTCAGTTATTGAATCAAAACAAAATTGTGGGCAAGTATGAAAAAAACTGACCTTTCTCTATTTCAAGCTTTTCATGCATGGTGTCAGCTTCTGGGAAGAGAACCATACTCAATATCATTTTTTTTTATAAATGACAAGCAGAATTATTAGAACATGAAACTAACTTCTTCAGTGGAATTCACTGGCCCATGGCTTAGCCTGTTCTCCCAATATGTCTTGGGATCTTCCTTATTTTTTGGGGCTTGGAAAAACGACTCGCAAATTTTAGTCAACGTCTCCCGTTTCGGTCGGGAGGTCGTCGGACGGGAGTCGTTCTTACAATTCCCAAAAAAACATAGGGAGTTGTCGCTCTAATTTTACCTGGAGAATTTTTATTTTTTTATTAAAAAAATAGGGAGTTGTCCGCCTAAAGTGCGGGAGTCGGCGCACCAATTCCGCCTGATGTTTCCCCCTTTTTTATATTTAAATTGACGGGAGTCGTCCACCTAATACAAGGGAGTTGTCGCACCAATTCCGCCAAATGTTTTGCCTTTTTTTTTCTATATTAAAAAAAGACGGGAGTTGTCCAACTAGAAATGGAAGTCGTTGCCATATGGCACCCTCAGAGACTCCAAAAAAAGGTTGAGCCACTGAGGCCCCACCCCAAAGGCAATTTATCAATGATAAAAAAATTAGATTGATTGAGAAAAACCATTGCAAGAGATAAAAGAGATGACAAACGGGCCAAAAACATTCAAAAACAATCAGAAATGTAAGAAAAAAAAAAACAGGGTAAAAAAGGACATAGAGGAAAAAAATCAAAAACTAAAAAAGACACAGGATAAAAAAACCCCTAGTAGTGTTTCATTGGATTTTCTATTTTCCTCTCTACAGTCAATTTGAAAGAATCAGAAAATTGGGCTTCCCATCCCCAAGCCTCTTCTGACGCCTTTTCTTTCCACTCCTTCATGAGCTGAGGCGGCGTCCTTCGGTGGCGCGAGCTGGGATGGTGGGGTTGGACATGGTTTGGTTGGTTGGGTTGTTGGTTGCTTGGGTGGTTGGTTGGTTTGGGTAGTGGGGTGGGTGGGTGGGGAGTCGGTGGGGGGAGTGGATATGGGAGGAGGGGAGGATATGGGTGTGGAGCGGCGACTCCTGCGTGGGAGAAGAAACAAGGTTTCTTCTCCCCAGCCGACTCCTAGGGATTTGTCGACAACTCCTGTGAGACGAAAAAAGCCCAGTTGTCAGTTTGGACGATTGGGCCATTGACTCCCTTTCCGTCTGGGGAAATTAGCCTGACGACTCCCAAGGAAAAAAAAAAAGAATCAAGAAAATTAAGGATCAAATTTGGGGCGCCGACTCCCGCCTTTTAGGCGGACGACTCCCAAATTTTCAATTAAAAAAAAATAAAAAATTGTCTGTGGAATTAGGCCGACGACTCCCGGGAATTGGAAGAACGACTCCCGTCCGACGACCTCCCGACCGAAACGGGAGTCGTCAAATAAAATTTGGGAGTCGTTTTTCCAAGCCCCTATTTTTTATCTCACAGATGCTTCTGGAAAAGGATGTTGACTAGCTTACTTCTGGCAATATCCTGCTTGGGAGAACAGATTGAAATTCTGCTCAAAGTGTTGGATTGAAACAAGATAGGCAAGGGTAAGATCAGTATCAGGGAGGAGAAAGGCTGATCAAGTGACATCACATTATTGTCAAGAGAAAAGTTCATGTACCACCTGGAGTACTTTGTCAACCAACACAACCTGCCATTTGAGTTTCAGTGTTCGCCAGTTTTCAGAAAGATGATTTTCTGAAACATATCATAACTCACTTCAAATTTCTCAGCAATGAAAAATCTGATAGAATTGCTTGACAAGAGTAAAAACATGCCAAATTTTTGAACAAACTACCTGATGCTGTCCTTCCAATCATTGCAAAACATGCATCAATGAAAAAACAAGACTGAACAAGAAAATTTCAAAAAAAAAAACATATATGGTGATTCCATGACAAGCTTATGCCTCACATATTCAAGTCAATTGATTTTTCTTTCAAGAATGAATCTATTAATAAGGAAGATGTAAGAGGATTATTTCAAGAGGAAAATTTTCTTTGGCTTAAAATGAGACACACATCAAAACTGGTTGAACCCCAATTATTCAGTTTGGAATTGATACTTTCTGGAAGAGATTATACAGAAAGCTGGCTTTGGCCATTTGAATATGACTATTGCTGATATGTAAACCTTTTACTAGAAACATTTCACATTTACTTCTTGTCTTTCCCAATAAAATTTTTCATGGTTGATTGAAAGCTGATGCAAAATTTCAACTATTGTTTATTCAAAAAATTGAAAAGCTCTCACCAACAGGATCAGGATGGAATCAATCTGAAGACATTATGTGTAAATTTGGAGAACTCATATGACAGATATGTGCATTGCCATTTAATTCCTGATGATGAGAGAAAGTGAATGTGGAAAATGTTTTCCAAATTCAACTTTTTATTTTCAAGCCTCAAAACAAGTAATATGATCATTGATAGGATCAAATACACTGATAAAGCAACACCAATAACAATCCTCAACAATGAAAGACTTTTTTTCAAGAAAAAAAAAACCTTCAAAGCCAATGTAAAAAAACTCATAGCTCTACTTTTCTGGACTTGTCCACTGTTCAGTAGATTTGAAAGATTCTTGACAATCAGTTACCATATCTGCCAGATATTGAATATTATTGAAATAAAATCATTCCCAGAGATTATCCCACATCCATGGGTCTACCTGAATATTCTGCATACAAATTCAAGTCATTGTTGGTATCTCAAAGAATTATCAGGATTGCAACAGGTTGAAGATTGGTATCAGAGGAGAAGTACAATCATGTAAAGAAATTTCTCATCAAAAGCCCACATGATTTTAAAGCATTTTATGAATATTTAAACACATTATCACTAATGATTATAGAACACAACACTGTAAGAAAAAGTTGCACAACTGTGCACAGTTGATGTGCAATATTACAAAGGTGCCTTTGTAAAAGTGCATGTCAACTGCACATAGTAAAATTGAATCTAAAAATTTATGAATTTCCATCGTGAACCTGCTGATAAATACCTGAAGCATCTCTGATCAAATGAACATTGAATGATGTTTGATTCCAATCATCTTGTGCATCATAAGAGTCATTGGAAGACTTCCCGTCAATCTGGAAGGCCCTCCCAGATCCAGATCTGGAGGGAATTCTCCCAGATTTTTGGTGTGCCCCGGGGAGGCCCGCCTCCCAAATCTACGGCAGGGTTTCCATGATCCCCTCCCAGCTTTCCAGACCGATATAACATATATCGCATCCAGCCCTATACAACCAGTGGGCTATTGCAAATAACCGATTGGAGCGCAAGGCTGATCCTCTGAAAACGAAGTTTAGGCCTATGGTCAATGCGAGGAAGCCAACGGGTGAGACTGTGTGCCCACCATGGATTTGTGAGGCTAAGGAGATCGAGGTGTTGATTTTCGAGCAAGCGGTCCACAACACTGTGGTGGATTCTTTAGGAGATGAAGAGAATGAGAGTGCAGATGAAAGGTGAGTGGTGTTTTCTACCTTCCTGACAACCACTCCTGAAGTCTTTGCCTATCATATAAAGAGGGGCCGCTAGATCTGGGAATTGAGCGCAACGGAAAAGCAAATCTGGAAATTTCTGGAAATTTGGAAATATCTGGAATCTAGGATTCCAGATCTGGATCTGGAAGGGCTTCCAGATCTATGGGAAGTCTTACATTGTTTCTTTTGCAAAAGAGTGTTATTTATTCAGTTGTGGGCTTTTCCACTTCCACCTACAAAACGGGGGGCTGTCTCAGTGACTGGTTGGCTCTTCATCCCCTGATCGTTAGGGATGATGTTGCTTGAGCCTTGGTGTTGTTTTGCCGGGATCGTGATGACATGTGAGATGGACAATCCTGGTTAATCTGTGGAGTGTAGCTTTTAAACCATGATGAAGATCCGATGCAACCAGAAGTAGCCAAGTCCATACTACTACACAAGTCCATACTTGCAACCACCCTGCCCCTCCAAACTCAAACCTTCTTTCCTGCTGACCACCACCACCACTCTGCTGTTGTGTGACCGTCCACCAAAAGAAGATTTATCCCTTTCCTTCTACCTTATCCCCATCCCTCCCTCATCAGTTCGTCTATCAGACCGTCTCCAGAAGATGGCCGCCGGTGCTTCGTCATCTAAATCTCCTGTCGTGGGTCCTTCGGCAAGCAGTCCCAAGAAACGAGAAAGCAGCATGATCTCAGTTGAGTTTTTTTTTAAATCATCATTTCCCTCTCAGTTGAACTATTTCATCGCTGCCGAAAATTTATGACTGATATTCTGGTTTTTGCGGACACAGGATCAATCAAGCTCTCAGTCCCAAGAAACCTTAACTCCCAATCAAATCGAAATCCTGAAGGCATTTAGGTCAGAACTCGAGGAAGAAGGACATCTCAAGCCGTCAGAAACTTTGGGGACAGATGATGAAACTCTCATGTTAGGTTATTTTGTTTTTGCTGGAATAATCAGTTTTGACAAGACGATAATAATCTTAACTGAATTCATTTTCCTAACTTCCTCTCGATGCATGCATGAATAGTCGGTTTTTGAAGGCAAGAAAGTTCGACCTTCAAGCGTCCAAAAGAATGATCACTCAATGCTTGCAATGGCGGCATCAGTTCGAAGGCATCGGAATCGATGGGTTGTACGAAGAATTGGATCCTTTTGACTTTCCAAATCGAGATCAAGTCTTCAAATATTGGCCAATTTATTTCCATGGAGTAAATACAATTTCACCTTTCATTCCAGTTTCTCAAAATCTAAAAAAAAAAAAAAAAAAAAAATTGAAATAAAAAGAAGTATTGTGCCATTTGTTCTCGAGCATTGATCACAGCAGCAACAAAAAAAATAACACTTTTGGTTGATGTACATGATATCTAGATCGACAAAGTTGGCCGACCGGTGAATATCCAAATGTTTGGTTCCCTGGATTTGAGTAAACTGTATTCAGTCATCGACAAGCAATCGCATTTCAAGGTCTTAGTAGCCAACTGTGAAGCCTTAACTCGAGAGATTCTGCCGGCCTGTAGTCACCGGAACCAAGCGATCAACCTGCAAAACTCTTCTCAATCCGATCATGATCACCATTCTCAAGCAAACTCCTCCTCATCTCATTCCAGTGCATCGCCTAAAATCACTAACGCTTTTTGTATCGTCGATCTGAAAGGTTTCACTCTTACCCAGTTTTGGCAGGTTTGTCTGTTTCTCTCTTTCGTTGTAGAAAAAAAAAACAAGTTCTTCTCATCTTCCCTTTCTCATGATTCTTCTTTTTTGTGCATCTTGCCATTCCAGATCAAAAATATTGCTCGGACTTGCTTTAGTATTTCTCAAGATTACTATCCTGAAACGTTAGTGACCACTTCATCAGTAAAAAAAAAAAAAAAAAGATCCAAACTGAAATTCCATTTGATTGATGCATGCCAAAGGATGGGATATCTAGCAATCATCAATGCGCCGAAGTCATTTGCGACGATCTTCAAAGCGGTTACGCCATGGCTATCAAAAGAGACGATTTCGAAGATCAACATCCTAGGGGAGGATTACAAGTCGACCCTATTAGAACACATCGATGATGAAAACCTGCCCAGTTTCTTGGGCGGAAAATGCCAGTGTGATAACCAATTCAGCTGCTCGAAGAATGATGCGAATTTCGATCGATCGCCTTGGTTGAAAGAACGCAACTGGAAATCCCAATCATGGAAGAAATTTAATGTCCAAACTCCAGCTCAAGCGAAAGAGAGAAATCCAAGCCCTCAAGCCGATCCTTCTGCTTCAGTCTCCAAGTCTAATGATCTCAAGGCTAATGATCTTCAAACTCATCCTCCTAACAATACTCCTAAAAATCTTCCTGAACAACAGAATGAAATCACTGATGGTGGTGACACCTCAGATGGCGCTTTAATCATCAACAACTCTCCCAAATCGCCAACTAAAAATAAAACCTAGTCAACTCTCATCCCCACTTTGCTAAATCTTTTTGTTTTTAGAGCTTCTCATTTTCTTTTGGGGTAACCGCATCTTTTTCTGTTGTTCTGTTATTTTCCCATCTATTCTTTCCATATTCCAGTCGTTTTTTCCACATCAGCAATGTCCCATTTCATTTTTCCTCCATTCAAGACTTCAACTTTTGCTCAATTTTGTGGGGAAGATTTCCATCATTTTTTTTTTTTTTTCAGGTTCATTACTGCAGATATATATTGCTGTTTTTTTCTTACCTTCATTTGATCTTAGCCAGAGTGTTTTTCCTTCTGCCAATGTTATGTGTATCTTCTCTCATCCTGCTGTTTCCAATAGAAGTATACATTCCATTAGAAGCGCCCATCCTGCCAGTATGTTTTCTCGAGGAAAATAGGATCAGAAGCCTTCATTTCTCCATTTACCGTTACAATTAAGATTTGTTGTACCACATGCAGCTTTTGTCAAAAATTGGCCCATTCACTTTGATTAATGCTTTGGATGCGCAAAAGTATAACACCAATGCCGAGGTCTACTGCCAGAAGATCTCGTCCCTTCAGGATGCATCTTCAGAGCCAAGATCCTCGATACCTATCTTGTTAAAATCAGCAATGTTGGCTTTATACCCATTGGTTGCATCTCTAGAATATATGTTGTTTCCCCTTCCCCATTGTATTCACTGTAGTGGACTTTTCTGACCCGTCTTCTAGTATCCTCCCCAAGAATCGCACATGTCTATTGTCTCTCTTATCATTCTAGCTTGGCTCAATGATGACGTTTAGAAACCAAGCCCGCCGCAATACAGTCGAAGCAAAAGTCTTTTCACTATGATATTTCCGTAAGAAAGGCAGTTGATCATTCACAGAACTTCAACTGTATATATACAAAGACCGGTAATAGCACATCAGTTACACACAGAAAGTCCATTTGAAACCGCCTGACAATCTTTGAGAGGCGCCAAGAGCAGTTCAGCAATAAGCTTGCTCAGGTTCCCTTGATGAGCTTGGTAGGTCTTCGTCATCACTATCTGCCCAATCTAAAACGCTAGGATTGGTATATGAACCAAAGTCTTTAATGAGAGGAGAAGGCATGGTATATGTCTTCATGCTCAATGCCGCCCTGCCTCCGGGGACTCGAGTCAAAAGCGTGGCTTCTGGTGGGATCGGTTCAAATGTGACCTACAAAGGTTCATCCAAGCGATAATTAGAGTTCATCCAAGCGATCATTAGAACACTTCAAATGCGATGGAGGATGAATGATAACAAACCGTTCGATTTAGTTGCTCATAGGCTTTCAAGAATTTATCGATCTCTTCCAATTCCTGTTCCACTTTCCCTTTCTTGCGAGCCCAGTCATTCTTCAGAGATCCGTTCCGCACGGCAAGAAGCGATCCACTACACACCGCCTTCATTGCCTCTCGTGCCAGGCCGAGCCAGCCGATAGCTTCCCCGTTTTGACTGGCCTGCTCGCCGGCTTCCAGCGCCAGCCACTTGTACCCACGTCCAAGAGCTACTTGACGACCTTCACTGACGTAGTTCCGCAGCGAACTCGCAATCTCACTGGCCCCACTGGCTAACTTGAACGCATCCTTCGCACTGCTATACAGTTGGTGCACATTCAGCTCGAGCTTTGCGAGCAGCGCCGGCGAGGGATGTGATTTGGGCAAGCCTGCTCCAGGGTTCGTGTGTCGATCCATCGCAGACCTTGACAGTAAACGCCTGATCGCAAGCCGCTCAGCATCCGCTAACATCAGTCTAATCGTCACAAGTCAAAAATCAGAAGTGTCAGCCACTGATAAGAAAAAAAAAACAAATTGGGAAGATAAAGACAAGAGGAAATCCCAAGTTTGCTAACGAACTGTGCTAATCCACCGGTGGCTTCTCTGGATAGCTCTGGGGGCCGGGAGGCACGCAAATGAGCAATGCCTTCCCGATGGTGTTTTTCCCATTTAGGGATAATCTCTTTGCTCAAGAATTCGAATATTCCGCTCGCACGGCAGAGAGTGTCGGCCGCCGAGCTCAGCTTCCCGTCTCCCGCACGTCGCTCAGCTTCGGTGCCGATCTCATATGAGCCCATAGAGCTCACTAGCGAGTTCGAGGTATTCGATAAGGCGAAGGCAAGGTTCAGAAGGACAGAGGCTAATTCGTAGTAGCTTTTTGCGGTCCAAACACACACAGAATATCGTTCATGTCAACATCAAAATCCTCTTCAGCTTGATCTGAAATCAGTGTACAAATTAAGGTCCATGACGGCTCGACCGCTGGCTTACAAGGAAGGTAATGAAATCCCTAGATGGCGAACGAACCCTCCCGAGATGATAAGGTTGATCTCCATCCGAACACTGGAAAGTGGAAGGACGTCATGAAACACACGTAGGTATTATTAGCCTTCGAGGAGGACATATCGTGTTAAAGATCTGGTATCATACCTATTTCAGTTGGCATCAACAACATATCTTTTTTCGATTGCATCCATAAGACCCAGGAGGTGAGGGAGGTAGTCTTCGATTGTCTGGTACAATAAATTAAGACGACAAGTGTGATCAGGACAAGCCTCTGGATGGACTCGATAAGATAAGCAGATCATACCTTGACAGCCTTGAACCAATCGCGTTTGCCAGAGTTCTGTTTGCATTCTTTCAAGCTCGTTCGCATTGCCCCGCGGGCGGCATTAGCCCCAGCCAGCTGGCCGATTCGTTCCCCAGTAGGGTCAGTCAGCAGGGGCTCGAAGTTGATCGTTGCAGGGGTTGACAAGTCGAAGAGGTACGACATCTTTCCGAGTCTGGAGTGTGTATCAGGCCAAGTGTGTGTGTGTGTGTGTGTGTGGTTTGTGCTTCAGCTTGGGAGATCGAAGCTTGTAGGGTTGGTTGGATCAACAGCGAAGAACCCTCCTGGAGAACCCTTGCTTGCGACTGACCGGGCCATTCGTCAGGCTGATCACCCTCAGCAAGCAGTGGAAAATGCCCGAACACTCTGTTTGGATCACCACCAACCCCCCGTGCTAAGCACGCTCCCGATCGACCTGTCCCGTGGGTCCCCGATGGAGAGCTCATCTTTCAAGGCTCAGCTGAATCGAGTCACTTTTTAGGGTCCAGATATTTCAACAGCAAGTCCTCCTTATATTGAATCTACATCCTGTGAAAATGTTGATGCAGACACATCCCATTGCTCATGAATTCCTGATCTAGCACTTCTAGAGCTAAACTCCAAAGTTTGTTTGCTGCTGAATGTCACTTGTGATTTTCTTCTCCAAACATTCATAGCATGTTGGAGTTTAGGATTAGATTGTCTGAATCATGGGATCCAGATTGGTGAGAAGTAGGCCGTTATCAGTTGGAATCAGCCAAGTCCCTTTGAAGATGTGAAAAGAAATTTATCTTCAGCTCAAGTCTAACCAAGTATCATAAAGCCTTGTGATTCCTGTCAGAAAATTGGCTTGGAATCTATCACCATAATTTATCAGGAAGTGTGACACCAAAAACTCAACTTGATCAGATTTTTGAAACTTCATAAAAAATGCTTCAATCTTCCTATGGATGTATAACAAGCTCAACTCCTGCTGATACATCATCTAATCATTTTTTTTTCAGAAAATACAGTTGCAGAATTTGGAATGGGAATTCAAGTTTGTTGCTTGAAATAATCAATCAACATACATACTAGAATCTATTGGTTTTGGGATAGAAAAGAATTGATTGAATCAACTTTCCTATGCTTATTCCATTGAGTTCAAATTCAATGGGTCTGAAAAAGCCTTATTCTTGCACTGCAGAAATCATTTGTGATGTCTTGAATTTGAGCCTAAATAGAGTACATAGCGCACCCCGCATTACTGTGCGCACCCACCAGTAAACACTAGAAGAAAAAATTCAGGCAGCTGCAACCAGTTGACATGCAGCATGCTCCAATCAAGCCTCAATCAAAACTAAGGTGATTGTGTTGACTTACTTCAGTGGTACTACTACTACTATCCTGTGGCTTCAAAGGCCAGAACAAAGTAGAATAAAATTTTGAGTTTCACTCAAGTTCAGTGTATAGTATGGTGTGAGCTCTTGGATGTAAACTGACACCAGTTGCTTGTGTTCTTTTTTTTCTTGCAGTGTTAAACCTACTGCAATCCAGGATACAAATCCAACCTGCATGTGTAGTGAATGTTTTTTTTTCAATTCAAGTCTGATAACTCCACACGGTTAACTGCCAATTGTGGCCAGATGCATTCTGTCATGACATCATGCCTTGTGGCTCTGTTTCATTATGTAAACCAACATGATTGTTTGAGACCCTGGATCCTGCTTTACCAACCAGTAGCATAATTTGTCAAATAATCCGACAGACAGCTTTTACTTTCTTTGGAAACTAGGGGCTATTGTTCAGTATTGCCACCAGAATGGCTGCATCCTACTGTACCAACTTTTGGCACGATTTGTCAAATAATACAACAGGCAGTATCTTCAGAATCTAGGGTCTGTTGGCCAGTAGTCCCATCAGATTCAATGTATTAATGATAGCAAGATGTTTGTCAAGATTGCTAAATATGTGATTTTTGTGGTGATAAATTGCTTTACATTCCATGATCACTTGAACCATGAGAGGACCCAGGAAAGCCCTTGTGAACACAGTATCCAAAATGTATGAATGGATAAAAA